ATATACATATATATATATATATATACATATATATATATATACATATATATATATATATATATACAGGTCCTTCTAAAAAAATTAGCATATTGTGATAAAGGTCATTATTTTCCATAATGTAATGATAAAAATGAAACTTTCATATATTTCAGATTCATTGCACACCAACTGAAATATTTCAGGCCTTTAATTGTTTTAATACTGATGATTATGGCATACAGCTCATGAAAACCCCAAATTCCTGTCCCCAAAAATTAGCATATTTCATCCCACCAATGAAAGACAAGTGTTTTTAATACAAAAGACGCCAACCTTCAAATAATCATGTTCAGTTATGCACTCAATACTTGGTCGGGAATCCTTTTGCATGAATGACTGCTTCAATGCGGCGTGGCATGGAGGCAATCAGCCTGTGGCACTGCTGAGGTGTTATGGAGGCCCAGGATGCTTCGATAGCAGGCTTAAGCTCATCCAGAGTGTTGGGTCTTGCGTCTCTCAACTTTCTCTTCACAATATCCCACAGGTTCTCTATGGGGTTCAGGTCAGGAGAGTTGGCAGGCCAATTGAGCACAGTAATGCCATGGTCAGTAAACCATTTACCAGTGGTTTTGGCACAGTGAGCAGGTGCCAGGTTGTGCTGAGAAATTAAATCTTCATCTCCATAAAGCTTTTCAGCAGATGGAAGCATGAAGTGCTCCAAAATCTCCTGATAGCTAGCTGCATTGACCCTGCCCTTGATAAAACACAGTGGACCAACACCAGCAGCTGACATGGCACCCCAGACCATCACTGACTGTGGGTGCTTCACACTGGACTTCTGGCATTTTGACATTTCCTTCTCCCCAGTCTTCCTCCAGACTCTGGCACCTTGATTTCCGAATGACATGCAAAATTTGCTTTCATCCGGAAAAAGTACTTTGGAACACTGAGCAACAGTCCAGTGCTGCTTCTCTCTAGCCCAGGTGAGGCACTTCTGCCGCTGTTTCTGGTTCAAAAGTGGCTTGACCTGGGTAATGCGGCACCTGTAGCCCATTTCCTGCACACGCCTGTGCACGGTGGCTCTGGATGTTTCTACTCCAGACTCAGTCCACTGCTTCCGCAGGTCCCCCAAGGTCTGGAATCGGCCCTTCTCCACAATCCTCCTCAGGGTCCGGTCACCTCTTCTCGTTGTGCAGCGTTTTCTGCCACACTTTTCCCTTCCCATAGACTTCCCACTGAGGTGCCTTGATACAGCACTCTGGGAACAGCCCATTTGTTCAGCAATTTCTTTCTGTGTCTTACCCTTTTGCTTGAGGGTGTCAATGATGGCCTTCTGGACAGCAATCAGGTCGGTAGTCTTACCCCTGATTGCGGTTTTGAGTAATGAACAAGGCTGGGAGTTTTAAAAGCCTCAGGAATCTTTTGCAGGTGTTTAGAGTTACGTCGTTGATTCAGATGGTTAGGTTAATAGCTTGTTTAGAGAACCTTTTCGTGATATGCTCATTTTTTGGGACAGGCATTTTGGGTTTTCATGAGCTGTATGCCACGCCCCCAGGACTACCTCCAGTGTAGGGTCCTGGTCACTCATGTACAGGCAAGAGACATCAAGCTCCTCATTGTCTTCTGTCCATATGAGTAATGTCTTATTTGGATCTGTCACCTGGGACATTCTGCATTTGGAAACTCAGCAGGGGTAACAGCCCCACACAGCTTAACTCGGAGGATCATTCAGGCACAAAAAACATCACCACAATAAGGTGGATATTCACAGAGCAGAAAACAGAATTATCAACAGAACTGCAGCTAAAAGATGCAAAACAAATGATACAGCCAAAATCAGCAAAACAGCTAAACACAGCTAAATTGCATTTAAAAAATAAAAGAAGTAGAATAGTAGCAATCAGTTAGAAAAGCAAACTAAAAGCAAAACTGTGGAGAGCGCAGGATGGCCATGGATCATTGAACAACGTTCTGCGAGGCAGCGAAGATTGGAAGAAAGTATAGGGTCGGCATTCATTAACCAACATTTTTATTAAGCTTGTGTTTGTATTGGAAGGTGATTGTACAGTGTTAACACTCTTAACTGTTTACCGTAAGATCTGGTATATAGTATGCACACCAATATGAGAGCATTTTTCTTTTTATTTAATTGATTTAATCAGTTTTTATTTTTTTTTTTTATATATTGATGACAGAGGTGTTGCCTTTTTACAGGAGACCCATGTGTGTTCTGTAGACAGTGGAAAGGTTGTTAAAAATTGGTCTGGTCAGGTGTTTAAATACAATTTTCCATCCAAATCAAGAGGGGTAGCTATAGTTGGCAAGCTGATACATTATACAGTCTTGAGTGTGCATGCTGATACTACTGGTCGGTATGTTATAGTGGTGAGAAAGTTATACACACTGCCAGTGATCTTGGTCTCGATATATGCTCCCAACTGGGATGACTCTACATTTTTAATAACCTCTTTTCAAACATACAGAATAAGTCACCACATAACCTTATAATTGGTGGTGACACAAATTGTGTGCTTTCGTCTCTTGATCATAGTTCAATAGGAAAAGCTACCCTGACTAAGTCCACTCAATCAATCAATGTATTCCTTGAATCTTCTGGCGTGGCTGATGTGTGGCATTTCCGTAATCCTACTTCAAGATCATACACATTTTTCTCCCCAGTTCATAAGACATATTCCTGAATTGACTATTGTTTTTTTGATAAACAAACTCTGCCTTGGAGCCAAGGTCATCTCAGACCATGGTCCATATTTTATGAAATTGCTTATTCCGGTCACAAAATCTGTAAATCGTCCTTGGAGATTCAACTCCTTACTTTTGTCCGAGGAAGACTTTATCAAATTTCTTAAATCTGAAATTGAGTTTTTGGTTGAAGTCAACAGAACACCATGCCACTCTGTACTGTCTGAGAGGCATTAAAAGCCTACATGAGAGGACAAATAATTTCCATCCATCCATCCATCCATTTTCTTCTGCTTATCCGGGGTCGGGTCGCGGGGATAGCAGCCTAAGTAGGGAGACCCAGACTTCCCTCTCCCCAGTCACTTGGTCCAGCTCCTCTGGGGGAATCCCGAGACGTTCCCAGGCCAGCCGAGAAACATAGTCTCTCCAGCGTGTCCTGGGTCTTCCTCTGGGTCTCCTCCCGGTGGGACGTGTCCAGAACACCTCACCAGCTAGGCGTCCAGGAGGCATCCTAAACAGATGCCCGAGCCACCTCAACTGGCTCCTCTCGATGTGGAGAAGCAGCGGCTCTACTCTGAGTCTCTCCCGGATGATCGAGCTTCTCACCCTATCTCTAAGGGAGAGCCCAGACACCATGCGGAGAAAACTAATTTCGGCATCTTGTATCTGAGATCTCGTTCTTTCGGTCACAACCCAAAGCTCATGACCATAGATGAGGGTGGGAATGAAGATCGATCGGTAAATTGAGAGCTTCGCCTTTTGACTCAGCTCTCTCTTCACCATGACAGACGTGTACAATGCTCGCTTTACTGCAGACGCTGCACCTATCCGCCTATCGATCTCACGCTCCTTTTTTCCCTCATTCGTGAACAAGACCCCAAGATACTTGAACTCCTCTACTTGGGGTAGGACCTCCTCCCTGACCCGGAGAGGGCACTCTACCCTTTTCCGGCTCAAGACCATAGCCTCAGAATTGGAGGAACTGATACTCATCCCATCCGCGTCGCACTCGGCTACGAACCGCTCCAGCAAAAGCTGTAGATCACAAACTGATGAAGCCAATAGGACCATATCAACTGCAAAAAGCAGAGACACAATCCTAAGGCCACCAAAACGGATCCCCTCAACACCTTGGCTGCGCCTAGAAATTTTGTCCATAAAAGTTATGAACAGAATCGGTGACAAAGGGTAACCTTGGCGGAGTTCAACTCTCATCGGGAGCAAGCACGACTTACTGCAGGCAATGCGAACCAGGTTCTGACACCGGTCATACAGGGACTTAACAGCCCGTATCAAAGGGCCTGGTACCCCAAACTCCAAGAGTGCCCCCCACAGGGTTCCCCAAGGGACACGGTCGAACGCCTTCTCCAAGTCCACAAAGCACATGTAGACCGGTTGGGCAAACTCCCACGCAGCCTCCAGGACCCTGATGAGAATGTAGAGCTGGTCCAGTGTTCCACGACCAGGAAGAAAACCGCATTGGTCCTCCTGAATCCGAGGTTCGACTATCCGATGGACCCTCCTCTCTAGAACCCCCGAATAGAGCTTACCAGGGAGGCTTAAGAGCGTGATCCCCCTGTAGTTGGAACACACAATACGGTCCCCGTTTTTGAATAGTGGGACCACCACCCCAGTCTACCAATCCAAGGGAACTTTCCTTGATGTCCACGTAATATTGCAGACTCGCGTAAGCCAACACAACCCTACAACATCCAGAGCCTTAAGGATCTCCGGGCGAATCTCATCCACCCCTGGGGCCCTGCCACGGAGGAGCTTTTTAACCACCTCGGTGGCCTCAGCACCAGAGATTGGAGGGCCCGACCCAGAGTCCCCAGGCTCCGCTTCCTCAGTGGAAGACATGCCGGTGGGATTGAGGAGGTCTTAAAAGTATTCTGCCACCGACCCACAACATCCCGAGTTGAGGTCAGCAGCGCACCACTCCCACTATAAACAGTGTTGGTGGCATACCGCTTTTCCCCCCTGAGACGCCGGATGGTGGACCAGAATTGCATTGAAGCTGTATGGAAGTCATTCTCCATGGCCTCTACAAACTCCTCCCATGCCTGAGTTTTTGCCTCAGCGACCACCCGAGCCGCATGCCGCTTGGACTGCCGGTACACATCAGCTGCTTCCGGGGTCCCACAGGCCAAAAAGGCCTGATAGGACTCCCTCTTCAGCCTGACAGCATCCCTCACAGACGGTGTCTACCACCGGGTTCGAGGGTTGCCACTGCGACAGGCACCGACAACCTTGCGGCTGCAGCTCCGGTAAGCTGCCTCGACAATAGAGGCACGGAACATGGCCCACTCGGACACAATGTCCCCTACCTCCCCCGGAACATGTTTGAAGTTCTCCAGGAGGTGGGAGTTAAAACTCCATCTCACAGGAGACTCTGCCAGATGTTCCCAGCAAACCCTCACAACACGTTTGGGTCTGCCAGGTCTGACCAGCATCCTCCCCCAATATCGGAGCCAACTCACCACCAGGTAGTGATCAGTGGACAGCTCCACCCCTCTCTTCACCCGGGTGTCGAAGACATGTGATCGCAGATCAGATGAGACGATGACAAAGTCGATCATCGAACTGCAGCCTAGGGTGTCCTGGTGCCAAGAGCACATATGGACACCCTTATGCTTGAACATGGTGTTCGTTATTAACAATCCATGACAAGCACAGAAATCCAACAATAGAACACCACACGGGTTCAGATCAGGGGGGGCCGTTCCTCCCAACCACACCCCTCCAGGTCTCACTGTCATTGCCCACATGAGCATTGAAGTCCCCCAGCAGAACAAAGGAGTCCCCAGGAGGTGCACTTTCCAGTACCCCCTCCAAGGACTCCAAAAAGGGTGGATAATCTTAACTGCCATTTGGTGCATAAGCACAAACGACAGTCAAAACCCGTCCCCCCACACGTAGGCGGAGGGAAGCCACCCTCTCATTCACTGGGGTGAACCCCGACACAATGACACCAAGATGGGGGGAAATAAGTATGCCCACTCCTGCTCGGCGCCTCTCACCAGGGGCAACTCCAGAGCGGAAGAGTGTCTAACCCCTCTCAAGAAAACTGGTTCCAGAGCCAGAGCCATGCGTAGTGGTGAGTCCGACTATTTCTAGCTGGAACCTCTCAACCTCACACACCAGCTCAGTCTCCTTCCCCACCAGTGAGGTGACATTCCACGTCCCAATAGCCAGCTTCTGTAGCCGAGGATCAGACCGCCAGGATCCCCACCCTCATCCACCACCCATTCCACATTGCACGCAACCCCTTTGGCCCCTCTGCTTTCGATACTGTTGACCACAGTATCCTCATCTCTTGGCTTGAACACTGGGTTGGGATTACAGGTGCTGCATTAGACTGGTTCCGCTCATACCTCTCTGACAGGAGTTTTTGTTGGAAGGTGGGTAAAAATCTATCCACTTCAATGCCTCTTTCCTGCGGTGTCCCACAGGGCTCGATTCTCGGACCCCTTCTATTTTCGCTCTATCTGCTTCCGCTGGGGTCGATCCTAAGAAAACATGGTATTCCATTCCATTGCTACGCCGATGACTGTCAGATCTACCTGCCACTGAAACCAGCCAGTGCTTGTTCCGTCCACTCTCTCCTCAAATGTCTGGACGACATTAAGACATGGATGGCTTCAAATTTTCTAAGTTTTAATGACCAGAAGACTGAAGTCATTGTCTTTAGCCCTAGCTCAGCTGCCGCCTCTTATCCTGTGAACCTGGACTCCCTTCAGCCTTATCTGAAGCACTCTGTTAAAAACCTTGGAGTGGTTTTTCACTCGGATTTTAAGTTCGACAAACATATCAGTTCGGTTCTGCAGAGAAGCTTCTTCCAACTGCGGCAGGTAGCTAAGCTCAAGCCAGTGCTGTCTAGACCCGACCTTGAGACACTAGTCCATGCATTCATCACAACCCGCCTGGACTATTGTAATTCACTGTATGCTGGGGTCAGCCAGGCCTCTATCTCACGGCTACAGCTCGTCTAGAATGCTGCAGCTCGGCTTTTAAGCGGTACACCGAGGTATGAGCACATCACACCAGTTCTGTCCTCCCTACACTGGCTTCCTGTGAGAACTAGGATTGATTTCAAAATTCTCTTCCTGACCTATAAGTGCCTAAATGGCCTCGCACCCATCTACGTCTCTGAGCTACTGGAACCATATGTTCCCTCTCGGGCTCTGAGATCATCCGATCAGCAACTTTTGGTGGTTCCAAAAACACGACTGAAGCTCCGAGGAGATCGGGCGTTTTCAGTCATGGGTCCCAAACTGTGGAACAACCTACCCCCCAACATTAGGCATGCCACCTCTCTTCCTGTGTTCAAATCCCTGCTAAAAACATATCTGTTCTCTCTGGCGTTTCATACTGTGTGAGTTGATTTAGTATATATTGTTCCATGTCTTCATTTTAATGCTGTTGTTTTAATTTTTTAAGGTATATTCTTACTGCTTTTTATTTCTTAGTGTTACCATTAGTGTTGAGCACTTTGATAACAGTCTATCTGTTTTAAATTGTGCTCTATAAATAAATATGACTTGACTTGACTTGACTTGACTGTCACTTGGTACTTCCTGATTGGTTGAAACAACCAGCAGGGGTGTAGTTTTAGTGATGTCAGAGGGTTATTAGAAGTCAGGAGACAGCAGAAATGTTTTAAGAACGGTTAGTACAGACAGAGAAATATTTTGAAGAAATGAGAGAATGCAGGTGCCAGCCAGTTCTTATTTACTGTCTGAGAGTTTTAAAACAAGGCACTTCGTTCTCATAACTTGTCTCTAACTTTTGACCGACATCAGGTCCACTCCTCACACAGACAGAAGAGTGAATGCACACTTACTTCATAAATATACATTTATTTGTATGATCCAAGTCTAATGAGGTTTAAAAATCATTAATACTGTTTCACAGTTGATTTAAATGAGTGGTTTACTTCAACATTTAGAAATGGTATGAACTAAACACACTTTTGATTATCAAGATATTGTAAAATAGTTAATGATAATATAAAAAAGAAGAGTTACTTTAAAAATGTGTCAGGACTTCATTTTTTGCATGTAAACGCACATAGCCTTCTGAGAAAACTTGATGGCATGAAAATTCTGATCAGTTCTTCTGGGGCAGATGTAATCTTCATCTCTATAACATGGTTCAACCAATCTGTACTGAATAATGACCTGGTGATCAATGGATTTAACATCTACCGTTGTGACCGTCAAAAAAAGGGGGGGGGGGGGGGTGGAGTCGCTATTTAAATCAGAGATTCTCTGGTTTCTAGTCTTGTATTTTCTAAAACAATTCCAAACCAATTTGATGCCTTAGCTGTAAACATCACTTTGACTGGAGGCCAGATATTATCTGTAATGAGTTGTTATTGTCCCCCTTCAGCAACACCTGAGGCTCTGTCCTCCCTGATGGAATTCCTTGGAAATTTAAAATTCAAAAAGATTTTTTGGCAGGAGATTTCAACATTGACTGGGATAAGTTGACCCCCCTCTGTGATAAATTTAAGGAATGTTGCCTGTCACTCAATCTAACCCAACTGATCAACTCTCCCACTAGACCAAACAAAAAACATACTTAGAAATCCTCCATCTTAGACCTGTTTCTAACAAATATGCCTCAGAAATTCCCTGGTACATATGTATTCGCTAACATTTTGAGTGATCATTGTGTGACAGCAACTCAGAGATATTAAACTCCTACCTTCTAAGCCCAGATTAATTCAAAAAGGGATCTGAATAATTTTTGTGAACAGTCATTCCTCTGGGATCTGTCTCACTTTGATTGGCATCGTATTCTATTAACGGATGAC